AATTTTTCTAGTTAATTCCTCTTTCTCTTCCTCCTCGAACCTATTTTTTGCACATTATTAATGTTTATTTTAATTGAACCACTTTACATGAAGATGAAAGATCACATAATAAAAGAGTCATACTTCATACAAATTGTTAATGTTTATCAAAAGTAAAATTATCAAATGAAAAGATTTGTTATGACTTAGTTTGATGTTCAAAGTAGTATGTACATGTAATGTACATTATGAGATGATATGTGTGTTATGAAAATTCATAGATGTTTTCAATTTTTTTAATTATTCTAAAGTATTGATATTTTATATAATACAAGAAACATTTTTTTAAATAATGATCATGATCATATTTTGTTAAAATATATGTATAACAACAAATATTTTTATATAATGACCATGATCATGTACTATTAAAATATAACATCAGGTACTTTCAAATAATGTTCATGATCTGTGAAAATATATAAAATAAACTGTTGAAATATATAATATGAAATGATTTGAAACGATGACCATAAAGTATAGATGTCCACATATGACCTAGTACATACATAGTACATTAAGACCTATAAATGCAGCAACGATGAGTCCGAGTCACCGAGGGGTTAAAGAATGAAACAGATACCATCTGACTCACGAAGCACCGATTAAAGCACGAGAACGAAAAAAAGCAGCTTACAAAGTTCTTTAATCGCTGTGAGACTACTTTAGACCCACGAGGACTGCTACGACTCCCTTTCGAGCACCCTTCTCCGAGTGCAAATACGAATCCCACCTCGATTGCTTTCGCTAACGACTTTTACTAGCGCTAAGTAAATCCGCAGTAGCGAAGGAAACGAAGGGGAGAACCTATTACAACTGTCCGTTTATTCGATAAAGATGAATCGAATTAGACCCCCAGACTGCTAATAATACGAGCAAGCAACAAGATCTTATTTTCAAATAGCAGTATAATCGACTATTCAGATCTGAAATCGTTTCCTGCTTTCTTTATCTAAATTATTGATCTTGAGCGGTGTACATATACTAGGAGTGTATATATACGTCATCAAAAAATGAATTTTCAGATACAGACATACTAACAACATATATCTACCTTTATTGAAAAATGAACCATAAGGTACAGATATATTAAGGACGTATATACACGTCCTCGAAAAATGAATCTTCAGATGCAAAACATACTAAGAACGTACATATACGTCCTCCAAAAATGAATCTTCAGGTACAAAACATACTAAGAACGTATATATACATCATTGAAAAATGAACCCTAAATTATAAATATATGAAGAACGTATATGTACGTCATTGAAAAATGAACCTTAAATTATAAATGTATGAAGAACTTATATGTACGTCATCGAAAAATGAATCTTCAAACACAAACATACTAAGAACGTATATATACGTCACTGAAAAATGAACCCTAAAATATAGATATATAAAGGACGTATATATGCGTCAGTGAAAAATGTATCCTGAGGTACAGATATACCAAGGACGTATATATACGTCATTGAAAAATGTACCCTGAGGTACAGATATATCAAGAACGTATATATACGTCATTGAAAAATGAACAGTAAGATACAGATATACCAAGTGCGTACATATATGTCTTCGAAAATGAGTACTGAGACATAGATATACCAAGAACGTATATATACGTCATTGAAGAATAAACATTCACACACCAAATGTGTAAATGTATGCTTGTCAAGAAATGGTAGAATTGATGTACTAATCATATAGAAATATAAAAATTCACTTATTTAAATATAATTGCATGATAGTGAAATAATAGGTCAGTAGTGTGGTAGTACTGTAATATTCAAGTACTCTAAAATAATAGTAAATAACAGTAAATAATCAAATATTAGAATATTAATATAAATTGTACGATAGTTGAGCAGTGAAATAATTCAGCACTATAAAACACTAATACTTTGAAATATTATACTATAATAGTATACCATAATAATATAGTGAAATAGTAAAATAATACTGCAATATAATAACACAGTAGAATAGTAAAATAATACTGCAATATAATAACACAGTAAAATAGAAAAAAATTAACATAGTGGTAGAATAATCAACACCGCAGCGTGATTTATTATTCATTTGATCCCACATAGTATGGAAAGGGTTAGGGTGAAAATATTGCATTTGGTAAGCGTTTATTTAAATTTTCAAATATCACGCAGTTGCCCCCATGTTCATCCCTGATCTATCACATCGAGACCCACACGGAGTGTGTCGCTCAGGGGTGGTCCCCTCCGCGTGCTCCACGTCGCGTATTTATGCGTGCACTTTTGCAACGTAGCTGCAGCAGCAGGATGTCGGAAGGGGTTGCGTTCGCACCGGTAACTCGATCAATAAGATAATTGAAGACTTTCTCGACAATGCCGGCGGAAGGGAGCAATTTCGCCATCTCCCTTGTACTTGAGCAAGGTCATTGTTTCCGAGGGGATTCTCATCTCCTAAGCACCGTTCGCATGGATGCTTATAATTGTATCCTGTGCTGTGCCGGCTTAAACGGCGTTGCCTCGAGCCACGACAGAAACGAATAAATCGACCAAGAAGAGGCCAAACGAATGACTGACTCACTCACCAATCGAGCATACTGATCGATAACGCCGGGGTGGAGAACGCTTTAAACCCTCCTCACCTAATATTTAACATCCAAACTGTTATTGCGCTTTAATATCCTTGAAAGGTTCAAATTATACACTGAATACATAATTTCATTTATGACACATTTTTCAGTCGTATTACAATAAGATATTAATGTACAATATTAATAATAATGTGTTCCATATTAAGAATAATATTGTGACACTTCGTTTACAAAAAAAAGTTAAGTGCTGTTCATACGAAGTTAAGTGGTTGATCGCATCTTAGAATAAGCGCCAAGTGCTAATTAATCAATAGTAATGTATTATCGCGAAACAAGAGTAACCAGTTTTACCCTACTTTCGCTGATTCGATATCAGTTTACTACCTGGCTAAAGTTAACTAAATAACCGATAATTACACGCAGTAACTATTAAACTCGATACGATGCATCGCGGTGCATAAGAGAATATTTCGAAACTGAATACGTAACAAATTAATACGTGGCAACCGATACGAAGGCGAGAGAAAAAGAAGGCAACACAAGAAACGAGAGTACACGCTCAGTTAATCAACCGTGAAAAGCGAAGTGGTGGAAACATGGAATATAACGAGTTGGCAACGAGACGCCGCCGAAGCCCTGTACGGGATCACGAAACCATGCATAACCATTGCCTCTCGTGAAAGAAGCTATCTACGAAGCAATAGCAGTGATAAAAAGTGATTACATAGATCGAGTATGTAGGTTTATTCAAAGGACGAGAGCACGTGTCGTGCAACGACGCGTGGTATCGAGTCGAGAGACTCGAAAGTCTGGAACGGGCGTAACGGTATTCAGGAATTTTAGACACTTATCGGGAGAAATTAATGTCCTGAGAAATTCGATTCCGTTAGGAAAGTGAATAGCCGAGAACCAACGAAGCAATCATGAGAAAAACGCTGTGACGAAATATTGTGTGCCTTTACGTGTTAAATGGGGAAGTAGAAAGGGACGTGTGTTGTATGACACGTTATTACTGCAATTAAATACATATTCAGGATACTAACATTCAGTTTTCTAATTCAAATTTGTACAAATTAATACTTTATTTCGATTGGAAAGTGGGCTCTCGTTATATTGCCACTCCTATTTGCCCTTTCAGTACCATTACTGTCACTAGTTACATTATCATACACTGCAGTATCACACATTGTTATTACTACGTATTGTCATTGCGACGTACTATTACTATAACCCCTTTGCGACATCAATCTAAAGAAAAATGATCTTAAAAATTTTCCCGTCCATATTTGACTATGTAACAAATTAAAATAAACTGTATTTTTGCTATATTAATAATTAATAAATAACTGCATCAACCCTCAATTTGAAAAACCCGCGCTAACATCCGAACTGCAAAAATGGCGGCAATTCAAATTCAATTCAAATTCAGTTCAAAACTCACTGTCAAACGTGACATATTCCTACAAGTCATAAACCCAACTCGAACCTGTACACTCCATAAGTGTCGAAATTTGAATAAATAGCCAACCAAAATTTGAATAAAAAGCAATCAACATTAAATCAGCAGATAATTAATATTTCGAACATTGGCGCGAATCTAACCGGGCCTATAACTTCAAACGTCAGACAGAATGTAAATAAAGCCAATGCCGGTAACCCGAACTGTTGGCGCAATAGATAATGCTCGTTCGTAACGAATGTAACAGTTAATGGAGTCTCTCGGTTGAACTGTTTAACAAGCATGCGACCACGCAGCGCAAAACACGCTGCACGTACAAAGAGAGAGTGCTTACACGTGCGTGAACGTATGTACGTAAGTAAAGGGAGTTATAAGTGAAAAGTGGCCGGGTCACGATACTCGATATCATCGAACACAATTACCATTATCGATCAATTAAAAATATGTTAATAGTCGAACGCTGTTGATATAACGTTAGTTTTTTTTTTAAAGAATTGATGATTCATATCCTCATTACGCGTCAACCGCATAGACTTGCACTGATTCATCCCTACATATGTGATTCAATCGAGAATGAATATTAAAAATGTACGGAGAAAATCGATACATTCGGTTGTAATATTCGTGATATCAAAAACAAAAAAATTGGAGTACAGTTCGTTGGACACTATAGTATACACAGTTTGAAAAGGCTTGGCATAAAAAAAGTAAACTGACTGCAGGGCGGCGACACCCGGCGAGTCCCCACGAGGGTGGGTTTCCACGAAAGCATGCTGATAAAACCGGCGATCGATAAGAAGCGAGGGTGCACGTCGTAGTACGTGCATCTCCGAAAAAACAGTAACAACGAGTGTCGTGCAACACCGTTCATTCGCAATTCTATTATCGTGAGAAAGGGTTAAAAGAAACAGGCAGACTCACCGCTTGAAATTGCTCCAACAACTCCTGCCGGTCGTCAATCGCAGTGGCCATGTTGTTCGAATATATAATCCTTCCGTGTTTCCTTTCTCTGCAGTCCCTGCGTATAGCCCTTCTTGCTCCGCCTCTTCTTTCTTCCAGTCTCCGTCGATTGTACGCAATAACACAGAACGGGACGGGAAAACGTTCAACTCGAGTCGGTAATTTTCAACCGGTACACGGAAATAGTTACAAAAACGGTTACTTGGGGCGTTCTCGCACCTCGCGTACGCGTTTTCTGGTTACGACGCGATTACGAAGGAGCAGACACCGCGGGAACACGTCCCTCTTTTACGGAGTCGCAACGAATACTGAACCATCATACACCAAACGGAGCGCGCGCCAGCCCGCCGAACGGGTACGAAAATGTACGAAGGATCACGAAGGAATCGCACGGTCGACACCTTGCGACAGGTTCGTTTCGTTCGGCGAAAATATTCGTGAACGATCAAAGTTATTTTAGAATTCGCCTTATCTGTTTTACGCTAATAAACAGTTTGTTTCCCTTTCGCTTTTTATGGCTTGAAATTCGATGTGACAAACACTTAAAGGTATAATTCTTGTTCCGTCTCCTATCCTTTCTAATCCTTGATATTAATCTTTTCATTTAGGTTGCTTACAAATATTTGTACATCGATAGATGCCTCAAATTTGACAACTGCGTTTGGTAATGTACTTACATTTTTATTTGTTTTCTATGAAATTTGTTCAGTTTTTCATATAAAACTATACGAATGTCTGAATGTTAAAAATTCAAAGATTAGTGGAGACACTTAGTTGAAGCTTTTCATTTAGGGCGCGTCATTTTCCAAAAGATGATGGCGGAAGTTGTCAAACGTCTAGTACAAAAGATCCACCCTAAGGGTGATCTCATTCGTCATGAAGTCGACGTGCTCTTCCTACAGAATCCCATAAATTACTCTTCAGTTCATCATTTCGAACCATCAGATCGTATTAAACCCCGGACAAAAAGTATAACGCTCGCTTTACAAAAGGATATGTTCTCTTTTTGCGTCGAATCACATTTATCGTAGAATAGATGCGGTGCACGTGACAGAAATACGAGTTCGTTTTGCACCATAAAATCGTAAAACACGGAGTGAAATATTACCAACTTCCGTATACAAGAAATCGTAGTATGTTCATCCGTGAAACAAAAGCAGTTACCTCGAAAACCATTAACTTCTCGAATTGAAGTATTAGACGTATTTGGAAGATAACTTATAATAAAAGACATTGAAACAGAAAAAAATGTGGTGACTCGTTAACTTTGGTATCCTTTTCTAGCACTTTCGATAACTGAACTAGAGATTGTTGTGCCCCTCGGGGTACAATGTTGTATGGAGGATAGATTAGGGTTAGGGAGCGTCAAAGAAGTAGACTTCACCGGTCGACGAGTGTAAAATTGGAAAAGACTTTATTCCTTCTGACAATAACACAAGGATCTTTAATATTTAACTCTTACTTTCGAACCTTTTGCCCTGGCGCTGTTTCGCCTTTTATATGCCTCGCGATTCCGTTTTGACCAGGTTCGACATATTTTTAATGCTGACTATGGTGTACTACTTTTGGACCAGGTTCGACATACTTTTAATGCTAACTATGGTGTCCTACTGACGATAACCATTCCTTAGTTGTTGCACAATGACCTGGTTCAACGCTATGTGGAACTCTTATTGCTGACGGGGTACAACAAGATGAAGCTTTTAAAGTAATTTCACAAAGATTGTGAAAACTGTGTCAGTAATTCCTACTTGTTTTACGAAAAGACATTAAAATTTTAATAAACCTGTGCAGAACTAATTTTCCACCTTTGATTTTAATACCGCGCAGTTATAAAATAATACTGCCAGTGCCATCTAGCGGAAAATGGAAAAATTAACAAAGCCGAAAATTACTTCCTTTCATAAAATATAAAAAATGTTTTTTTGAAGCAATTTATTTTACCGACAATACCGTGTGTAGGTAAAATAATTTTGAGAAATGAAAGACAATGAAAGTTGCAATAATAATTAATTGTTACCCACTATTAAAACATAAAATGTCACAGCAATAATTTTTTGTTATTATTTAAAAATTGAAATAATTAGAAATTTATTGTAACAACGTAAGTGAATAAATTTTAGTGATTACTAAAAAAAATAGAAGACAGCTTAAGACAGTATTGAATGTACATGTACACATATACATTTAATATATTTCATCAAAAATCAAAGTGATATAATCTTACAAATAAAGGCTACGTGTAACGCTACTTATTCCTAAGGTACATTTACCGTGTCATAAATATTTCTGTCTAAAAAAAGAAAGGAAAGAAGGGATCTTATAAAGGAAATAATCCGCGTATAAGTAAATATTCACGCAAGCGACGATGGCAAAGAATTGCATCTATCAATGGAAGGCTCTCCTCGACGTTGAATCAGTTATCGAGAAGAATGTGAAGAAACACGGATGAAAAATGTATAATTATATATTTAAATATAGAATTATGCGATAAACGCTTTGATATTAACTTTTGGCTATACAAATTTTTGGTGAAATTTCGAAAATCCTACGAGACATTTCGAAGTAACTGAAACAACCCCTCTGTGCGTTGCACAGGAAGCATTGACGTAACTAGGATTTTAGACTGACAGCCTTAGATTGTCATGTGTATCGCCATGTTAGGTCAGTGATAGAGGTAGAATTTTAGAAATTTGGAAATATAAAAATTTGACAATTTACGCCGCCTAGTTACGCCAATAACAGGGTAAAAATCGAACTACACAATTAAAACAAATATTAATAAAATCACCAACATCCGACAGTTAAGTAACAACTTTTGATTAAGTTATTCGAAAATGAACATTACGGTTGTTTAAAATTAGGGTTAACACCGAAATTAAGGACTATATTTAAGCAAGTTTTCATATCACAAAAAAGGAAATTTAAACGAAATTAAATCGAAGATTCTACTCGCTAATATATAAAATGAAATAAAATATCAGATGAACTTTTAATAAATTCTACACACCGAATTAGTAACATTGAATCACAATATTAATAAAAAAAAAAATTGTTTTGGTCGAAGTATAATACTTTTCTCCTAATAATACGCGTTTTTTAACTTATTAGAGTTCTCGGTTACGTAAACGATTCGTTGCAAGGAAAACGGAATCAATACTAGACAGTTTGTGCTTATTATCTGCTGAGGAAGATTAACGACCATGAATTTCTTTACCCGACGAAAAAACGCGTAGGCACTTGCCTCGTGTTTGCTCGAACGAATTATTTAGTATTCAACAATAATACACATGTACTTTTATGGTAAAGTACAATGCTCGAATGTCCGTTACAATGTATTTTTAATGATAGTGTACCCTCTTATGAAACCTACAACTTCCTGAACTTGTACCCATGCTTATGTAACGAAGAATAGCCTAAGTACCTTGTATAAAATACATACAACCAATAATACACGTACGTATATACATTATCTTTTATTACGAAAAGGAAACAAATGAAATTCATACCTCGTAAGAAAAAAAATGACACGAAAACACACTATCGTTAGAAATTCACTGTCGGCGTACCGGGACGCAACGATCATACAGATTTTCGAGCCACTTTTTTTTCTCTTTTTTTTCTTCGTATCTGTACAAAAATATATGTGTGTACACATAACTTCTCGTTTGATATTCTGACCTACAGTCTGTTTTAAACGGAAACGCGTAACATACTGATCGTGGACGACGATGCTAGTGTATTCCCTTCAACTATAAAGGCTATAGTGATTAATAAAACTTATTTTCATCTTAAGCTATGACGCCTAGTAATGGAACATAGGTACACGTTAATGGAATACATTCGTAAACGCCAATGATTATTAACACCTTACCAACTCTACTCGCGATTATAATAAAGATTTTACAAATTTATAAAACTCCCAATTCATTTCATTTAAATTTGCTAATACCTAAATTTCCACGTTTTCAACTTCCTAAAATTTCACATTAATATGAGGACTTATACCGACTTTCGTGTAGAGTCCCGCTATACTCATGTTCCCAAAATGCTTAATTAACATTCTTGTCGAGTTATAAATAAAACATTGTTTTTTTAATCATCAATTAAAAAGTCTATCGAAAGACTCAGTAAGGTGTTAATCGTATGTTCCGGTATGCAAATGTTTAAAACACACTGAGCGTCGCGTCGTTCTACACGTAGCACACATTCATAGAGTTTTAATACACATGGAAACTCAATAATCGATACTCGGTTTCTTTAACAATTAATTGTACAAAGTTTGTTTGCGCCAATCGAGCCAGGATAAAAGTTTCATTTTTTTTTGTATCTTTTCTACGCGATGCAGTTTTTGCATACCGTGCAAAAAAACTACACTTGGGTAGACAGAGAGAAAGACACGCATTTACATAGAAATAAAAAATAAACTTGTTTGAAGTAAGAATGCGACCGAATTGATTTGTAACTAAAGTTAAATGGTTTTGTACCAGAGTCAACATAGTTGAACAAAGTCGTATTTTGTTTACACTGATAGACTTAATTTTCGTTTACTAATGAGATCCGTATTTGCGATGCTTACAATATTTACGAAACGATTTGTCAAGGAATCTTATTGTTAATATAAGTATAATATTTAACAACGTTATAAAATGCAAATAATTAAGTTAAAAATATTTTAGTAAAGTGCAATACATAAAATCGAATTTATGAAATAACAAAATAAGAAAATATTAACACCGATATTATCGTTTTCTACGCCAAATTTCAAAATGTACGAACAAAATTTACGTATGTAAAACAGTCTTTTAGGCCTTTAAAAAATTCGTCACTTCATCACGTCGCAAAAGCAGTTTGTTAATATCTCACGATAAGAAACTAAGTGAAATGATAAGCAATGATTGATAGAGGTGTGCGGATAATCGAGTAACAAATTTTCAAATGTAATAATTTTAATATGTCGTACAAATTTAAAAATTTGAATAAATAAATTGAATATCGCAGAGTTTCACTCAAGTTCATTCTTTCGTACCGAAACTAACCGAACCTATCCGAATCTATCCGACTTTGATGCAACTTGAATTTGAAATATCGAATACCCGCACATTCCTATTTTGTAATTTAAGTTGTACACTCTGGTCCAAAATCCACAAAATTTCAATGAATTATCTCAGGAAGGCAGATTTAGATATGCTATATATTTGCGTGTCAATTCTATTTCATTTTTTCTTTTATACAAACTATAACTTATTTCCATCTACATTATGTTTCGAACTAATCTTCTTATATGTATATATGTATAATAACTATATTTTAATACACACATCTCAGTCTATCTGTACATACTATTTGGCGCAAAAGGAATCAGTGTCACCTTGTACGCCATTACAATTAAAAGCCGATATAAAAACCGACGGAATCTTCTTCGAAGTAGAAGTATTCTGAAATGACTTTTCTTCCTCGTAACACGTATTTATCATCGTTTTGAATTTCTCTCGATCTCAGCTCCTTTATCGTTCGCAACTTTTCATACTTCACTTAAAGGGCACCACGTGCTCATACTACAAATTGCATTACAAATTGTATTAACATTGTATCATTTAATTTGTCAACAGTCATTGGTCTCGCAAAAACTTTCGTTTCCGGTCCACATAGCGAGAGGTAAGGATTATTAATGAACTTTTCGATTTTTTCAAAAAAAACATTACGAAAAGAAAATAGAAAACATGTCGTACAAACTACGAAATATATCACGGTTCATCCGCGATATCCGTATCGATAATACGCAGCAATCATGGTATTCAGAAATCTTTACACCGAAACGCTGTAGGTAATTTAGAGTCAACGTATCGTGTAAGTCAAAATAAAAAAAAAAGGCAGAGTGTAACGTTACGAATCAACGTTAAACATCGACGCATGAAAACGATATTTCACGGTTATAAATAAACGTATCGTACACGGATAATAAATCCTTTCCACTTGACAAGTGCTCGGCTTAATCTTAAAGAATAAAAATACAATATACAGCGGGATACATACGAAACATTAGTCGTTCTGCAAGGCATACGAAATCAATATAGAAAAATAATGTTCGTGGTCGTGACAGAACTTTGTAATTCGACAGCACTATATAATACTTTATCCTCGATAGTCCACTCGCGACACAACGATCGATTGACACCTGATCACCTGCAGTACCAACCGACTGAATAATTTGTAGGTAACATTTTAATTGTTAGACTGTAAATACACAGTCGAAGTGTGATTCGAAATCGATAAACATTTCAGCCTTTTACAGTGCTAACGAGATAATGTAGGCTAGTAGGTTCTGACGAAGGACGTCGTTTCTTGAATGTCTGCCTCGCTGTCTGTGCCTTGGTATCCCTGAGATTGAGAAAGGGAAAGAAGTGCATCCAGGCCTAATGATTCAGCTAGGGGATCTGGCGCTCTTGACTACAGTATAAACAAACGAAAAAAGAAAAAAATGCTGCACTACTTATCAAATAAAAGACTTAAACAAACAACTATATGGTAAATGGAAAAAAACAGGACAATAATTAAGCAACTGTTGCTAGAAATTTTTTACATAAACAGAATGAATAATAAACTTATCTATTCTAAAATTAGCAGAGATAACAGTTGTTTATTATAGTAAACTTACCGTTGAGTTCTGTTCGGCCTCTTTACAATTACTGCATATGTAGTCGTCTTCTTCTGCTATTTCTGTACGATCCAAACCAACGCAATGCATATGGAACCAACCCTCACAGCCACCATCACATTGGACCCAGTCTACTTCCCTACCTATTATTTGAACAAACATACATAATATATAACTGTACTATTAATGCAAAACACATAAGTATTACATAGGAACAGATACTCTGAAATTTCTAGACATCTATATCGCCAATTTTTTATAACCCCACATCTAATGGACCTCTAAATCCCTCTATCCCTCTTATCCCTCCTCAACAATTATATGGGGAGATATAACAGGAAGTACTCTTACCGCTGGGTCGTAGACAATTAACAGCAGCGCAGTCGTCTTCTTCATCAGATGTATCCTGCTTCGTCTTTTTCCTATTGCCACCCCTTTTCTTTGGACCTTCTTCACCTTCCTTCCGTTTCATCTAATATAAACGATCAATTAGAATCTACCAAGTCGACGTTTCAGAAAGTGTATATCTATATTTAAATACCTTTCGCGGTCCACGTTTTATTGGCACCGGAGAACCGGCAGATTTTTTCTCCTTCTGCAGTCCCTTGCGTTTTGCTAAATTTTTTTCTTCCATCTTTTGTCTTCCGAGCTTTTTCAATAATTCAAATTCCTCGGATTTTCTTTTCCTTCCGCGCTTTCTCACGTCCCTCGTATCTTGATTTAAATTAGTTTGAACTTCCTCGTACGATGCGTACTTTCGAACAGTACTTGGACTATTTGTGTGACTTAATATACGCCAGATGTGTTGTGTTTCGTCTAGTGCAACCTCTAATAAATCGCCTTCCATCATCAGTTCTTCTAAACGCAACCTTGCAGCTTGCGATAGCACGACTGCGACCTCGTTCGAGTCATTCGATTGGGACTTGCGCTGAATTTTGGATACTGAAAATAATAAAACATCGTTAGTATTTTGTTTCAGTTGTTAGCATCTATTCTAGCAGGAAAAATCTTACTATAAGAATATGCATGTTCATTGCTGTTGAATGTACTACAACTTGGCTCGTCGTCATCTATAGTAACAACATCGTCGTCATCGTCCTAAAATATCGTGTATATATTTAATTATGTATAACAAATATAGCATATTTTAACATATATTCGCACTTCACGTATATGTACTTCATTAATATCGTAAACTTACTGCAGTACTGAGCATGCTGTCATCCGAATGCACACCGCTAAGCGGTGCAATCGCCTGTACCCTTTGATGAAGTTCAGGATTATTTGCCGCCTTCTTTAACTCACTACTAATAATCTTTTCCGTTTTTTCTCGTGCTGCTGCTTCGACTAACTTTTGTGACAGTACCGATAATTTTGCCAATGCTGATGAGATTTCATCTGTAGCCAATGCTTGTCGAGCTCGATCCTATTTAACATTCACAATTATAAATTATTGTGTACACGATGTTTTAACATCTATTTCCACGAAACTTACCTGCCAATTCATCGCACGTTCCGTTAAACATTGCAAAGCTTCACCCTCTGGTAAACGGATTGGAATTTTTTGAAGACTAACTAGAAGAGCCAAAATTGTCTCCAATCTTGGCCGTCGTGAACGTAAACAACAAGGACATAGAAACTTAATTTCCCTTGACATCGGTAACTTTCCCTTATACGATGTTTTCGGAAGAGGTACACAGTTAGCTAAAATTACGATTATGAATTATACAATTGAATTTAGTTTGTAATTACGTGTTGTATAAATTGAGAATTGTACTTACAATGGAACCAATCTTTGCAAAGCTCACACTGAAGCATGAGTCCAAACCTTGGTCGACGACAAACGCAATACCTCGAATCTTCTATTTCGGTTTTCATTAAATTTCTCTCCCTTAAATTTCTCATCGCTTCCATTTCACGTTGTTCGGCTAATTTAAATGCGGCTACAATGGTAGCCGAGTCATTGGAATCGTCCAATTTTGTATCACAGACGAAAACAGGTCCTACAGACTCTTCACTTTTATTTTTCTTAGATTTCAGTGCTTGTATACCGACTCCAATTCTTGGCGACAAAGCTTCCATTAGAGTGTAATGTGAATTTTTCCTTAGGAATGTTCGTGCCGTTCTTTCCTTCCAAGTTTTTGCTTGGGAAAGAGTCGATTCTAAGATTGGAAGAGAATCTAGATGCAATGGGATATTTCTACCCCGCTTAATTAAATCATCTAATGTATTATAATATGGAAAGTTATCTCTCGCTTGTACTTCTTCCACCATCTTCGACCAATTTTTTGCTTTATTCAGTGTGTCTTGAAGAACATCTAAGCTTGGTAAATAAGCTTCTACCTTATCAGCCTCCCCAATAAACTCTTCAAGGGACGTAATAGTTTGTCTATTTTTTGTATGAAGATATAATTTTGCTTTTTCTTCCCAGTTGTCGATCGCAAGCATCAGTGCTTGTAACTCAGAAAGTGTATTTTCTATACTTAAATGAGGAGGTATTGTCATGCCTTTTTCGATCAGTTTTGCTAAATCATCACGATGTACGGATTTCGGGTCTTCTTGAACAGATTTGACTTCTTCCAGCCACTGTATTTGTGCTAATTTCTGTAATAAAAAAATATTCAATTATATCAAACCCTAACAAATTATGATAATAGATGCACATTACATTTATGTATACATACTTGTTTTAAACGAACAAGTTGAGGTAGTTCAATACAAATAGAATCTCCAAAATCAATACATTTTTCCAGTTGTTCAATATCACAATCATCCTCTTTAGATTCAAATTCCTCTGCTTCTTTTTGAAACTGTAATACTTGATCAAGTATAAATTTAACTCCATCAGATTCCTTCAGTTCACAGCACAGATTTGTAATTTCTTTGTAGAAAAGTGTTAACTCTTCTACTGTAAGCTTATATTTAGTTTCAACAGATTGCCTAGTTCTACATGAAAAAATTCAAATAAATTTCCTTGCACGAGAGTACACTTCATACATAAATGAAAAAAGAAATAATACCTAGTACGCTGTTTGTTGTTCAAAAGTTGTTGTGCAACACTTGCACATTTTTCAGCATCTTGTACAGCAGTTGTTAAAGCAGTTAACAATTCACTGTCTGGAAACTTTTTACTTTCTGCTTCATTCAATAATTCTTTCAACTCATTAAGTTCAATCTTGTCACTTTTCTTATCAGGATCCATTGCTTCTTTTACTTTTGTCACCCATGAGTCAAATGACTCTGCTTTTAATTTTAATTTTTGTAACATAATTGGTAATTCGTCCAAAGTATAACGATAACGTAATGTATGCTTTTCTGGAGGACAATCACAAAGTTCTGTGAAATGTCTTAAGCAAACTAACTGGGAACTGTGACATGAACATGTAACTGCACTCAAAAAGCAAGTTGTCTTGCACACTTCACACTGTCTTTCGTCATCCGGTAAAAGTTCAAATGCTTCGCGTTCAGCTTCCGTTACACCCTAGAAAGCATAATTTTCATCACAAAAATCACTTATAGAATAACTTTTCTCTTGTACAGTTGAAAAAAATATACATGAAATGAAACTATAAATGAAACACATGTATCCATCTGTGAAAAAGTTCGGTTTCAAACAAAAAATATTTTATAAACGTGTAATTTGATAAAAATTGTCGTTATTGCTTTTCAACAAAATCCAATAAAAAGGCATAAAAATCACCGAATCAATGTAGAAAACGTAGTGTTTGTTTAGCATCATGGCAAAGCTTTAAAAACATAACCTCTATTCGCTAATAAGAGTTATATAATCAAGAACAGAAACACACCAAATAAGTATCAACGAACGAAGATTCATAACTAAGGAATGAGCACGCAGAAACTATCTTAACAACATCGAATGCAGGCTAACCAAAAATAACGAAATATATAAAAACATTAATGACGATTATAACGTGGATGGAACTCTACTACGATATCCAATGGTTGGTAATTCAGCCGCACACACATCTTTCACCGCGTGTGCTCGCATCGTTACGAATGTGTGTGTTTGCCGACGTGTGCGTAGAATGTTGTATGGGTGAGTCGGTGAGAGAATGCCTCAACATACTATACTGTTTGACCTAAATGTATTAGGCTTTGCATTTAGAATTATAACCTCTTCTATGTTGGAGGCAAGATTTAAACGTTACGAATGTATGTCAAAAGTAAATAAAACATGCTACATATACTGATAGTTAATTTAGCTGATTTTGTTTATGTTTTAATTAAGAAAAAAATGAAATGTTTGAATAAATACATAAAACAATAAAATATCTAGTAATTCATTCGAAAATATATTTTATTGATGAAATGATTATTAAAAAAGAAATATTTTAGGCTGTAAAATAAAAATGAACATGATTACTTACCCATTCCAACAAGTTTTTTCTTAATTTTTTCTCATCATCCACCATTTGAAGCATATCGTGATAGGTTGCAGTTGCAATTCCTATGTCTAGTGAATCTGGATCCAACGACATTTTGCATACTAATTCATCGTGAGAAAATACACAGAATCGTCTTAAATTTGAATAATGCGATATACACTCCCGTCCGATTTTGAGCTATTAAACATATAATAAAATCTATGAAACATATAATATACAAACATGTGTTAATAACAGCACTTTAAAATGACAATATACCCAATCTGCAGGTGCAAAATTTACAGCTTCAGCAAAATTATAGCCTTGATTAAAGCCAGCATGATACGCTCGCGGAAATGTTACCACGAATTCACCTGCATGCTGATCAGTTCTATATACTGGAACTCCTAACAGTCAAAAACAATTATAATTAATAATAGCTACTTAGTGAAACACAAAAATTAAAAGTAACATCATATTACCTTCATTTGTTAGTATATTAGGGTTCATAATAGTTACTAATTGATGAAGTAAATCTGGCTGACTATGAAACAATTCTGGTGCAGCAGATTTCATTGAGTGTTCAAACTTTTCTGCTTGAGAGCCTGGTACACCATACCATGTTTTTGGCTCTCCCCAATGCAAGTAATTAATTGAATAGCTCCAATGATCTTCATTATGCCAACAGAATGTTGCAAAACACATTCCAACATACATCCATGGTACCTTCATACCACTTATGTCAGCATTTATATGACCTAGGACACTACTACGTAAAACTGGTAAATTATTCAAATTCCACGAAGATTCTGCATATTCCTGGTCACATGTAAATAAATTAACACTCGTTTTCGTCGGAAATCCGGACCCATGATCCATAGTGTGTAAATCTGCTCCATATTCAACTGTTACATCTTCATCAATTGAAGAAACTATTCGCCAAAATTCCTTTTCTACCAAAGATGTTGGCACCATCTACAAGAAAGTACCTCAATTTAAAAGTTACATATACACGTATCTTCATCATTTTATTACAAAACACAACATAACATACATGTACAGGCATGTTAAAATAATCACTCTTGAACTGATCAGCCATTTCTCCAAATTGCTGGAGTGTATATTCTCTCTGAGCTTGCTCAAACCCAAAAGCTTCCATTGGCTTAGAAACTTCTTCTGCAACACACCTTGGACATCGCCAATCACCTTTTGGTATTTCTGTTAATGGTGGCATAAGACAGAAAGTGTGATAACTGTCATCGCACCCATCACATAAAAGCATGCTTTCTTCGTTGTCACCTCTTCCACAATTATGACAGATATATTTTGCCAACTACAAAATATGTATATGTCAGTTAAAGAAAATAATTTTTATACATAATAATCGCAGTAAAACAGGACTTACAGGATCAAATTCATAAACAAGCTTCACCCCCCTAGTTTTATTTGATTTCTTTCCTTCTTTGGTATTAAATCCAGCCATTTTTGGACCAGCTCCATAAAATTGTAACTTTTTAAGCTCTTTGCTATTGTCATCAAAATGCTTACTTCTAAGTCCATCTTTAAAATCACAATCAGAATCACATTCTTCTTTACAATCTTCCAGTTTAATAGACACTTCTTGTTTTTCCTCCTGACCGCTGAACCTCTTTGATCGGCGTGAAAATTTTTCAGTTGGAGGTTTGATTTGCTGCCTTGATATGATTCCATGTGGTTTATAGTCTCTGTCTTTTTTCTCATTTACATTGGAATCTGGCTCAATTTTCTATCAAATATAATATAAATTAGACACGCTTATCAATCCTCTAAAGATAATACCATTACCGAAAATAACTTACAATGTCTGTCAATGCTTTGCCCTGTTTAAAAACATCAAATGGATATAAAATTCGTTCATAATGATTTTTTAGAATACTCCCAACACTGCGTCCAGAAGGATAACCCAATTTATTTGCAATTTTTGCCCATCTTCTTTCCCTTGTTACTGTTTCAATTCCACCTGCAGATAACAATATCAGTGTATCAATGTTTAAATTGACTAAATTTTATTTAATAACTTTGATAATCAAGCAGAGAAAACAAACCTTCATCAGTTACTATCTTATGTAGCGAATATAAATCAAGAGCTTTGCGCTCCACAAGAGGAATTTTTAATGAAGAACCCTGAAGCTCCCAAAATTTTGCAATTTGGTCCAAGAAATTAAGTTTTATTCTTGTTTTTGCTTCTAGTTCATTTAATCTTTGTATTCTTGGAACAAATTTGAATTTATCAACGTCAACAGCGAATGGTGGTTGCCAGTTCTACAAAGGAAGAAATGAGTTACTGACCACTTTGTTGATACCAATTAAAATGTAGGCATTAATAACTTTTATTTGTGTGATTTAAACTGTAGTTCCTACTCGAGTCTGACATCACATAGTATCTTTATTTATAAAAAAATGCAATCACTTCTTGAGTTATTTGAAGACTCGAGTGAATAAAGTGAGTGAGTCAGTGATTTAACATCATAAAATTACATGTGTACAAATTACAGAAAAGACAAATTTGTTATAATGATATTTATAATATAAAATATATGTATATGAATATATGTGTTTAGTGAAAATTGTACAATCTTAAAGTATTTTCAACAAAGTTTAAACTGAGCATACTAATGGGGTGAAACTTAAAGGTCTTCAGATGAATCAATTAATGTAATAAAACGAGGATTCGAACGCATGATATGTTAGGGGGCTTTTATTAATATTTATACAACAGAGAAATAAAGCTAGTTTTTTCTGGTACAGTGAAAATTCATCAAGGAAGGCATATTTCTAAATAATCGATATGTGTCTTCGTAACTTCATCTCCTACCATGACGCAACACCATTGTAGGGTCAGTCAAACTTTTTTACGGGATCATGCAAAATACATATCCGATTACTATTCAGAGAAAGAAAGAAATCGTATCTTTTAGTCATAGTTAATTTAACATTCGTACGTTTCGGGGAACAAGTAACAAAACGTGTCATTAAAATGATGTACATTGTTAGAAGCCCAAGAAAATTTTCTCCATACACGACGCCCATTTAATGCCGTGACCAGAGTTATTTACGTAATGGCGTCATCCCGTTACAAAATATAAAATTTTTTAGTGAACAATAAGTTGTTAAATGAAGAGATGTTCTAATCAAATTCGAATATGAATAAAACATTAACGTTATCGTGTAAATAAATGCTAATTGTCTTTGCAAAAATCAATCCCAGCGAAACTTTAAAAAACGGTTTGTAGGGAGGGAAATGTTAACGGCCGTAAACACGATATATTTATCGTCGTCAAAATAACAAAAAAGCATTATTAATCTATATTGCACGAGAAATCAATGAATATTAATAATAATTGTTGTACAAATGACAGAATTTAAATTTTCAACTTGTTGAAGTGAAAGTTGCCCGTTTAAAAAGTTTTCGAAAATTTAGCAAAGTGACTCAAAATGTGTGTCATACTAGTCTTTTATAGTAATATGTAACAATTTTGTATTAATTTATGTAGCCATATTTCATGCAGCAAAACGATATACGACTTAAATAACATTTCCTTCTATTTTTGTAACAAAAAATTTTATATTTAGCAGTGCAAAATGATTTGTAAGTCACAATTCACTTTCGAAATCAAATTAGAAAAATGAAATTAAAATTTCTAGAAGAATATGTTACATAAAAAATGATAATGTAGGATAAAATTTTTCAGAGTTTATACAATCTCACAAATTACAACTTGGACGTGTTTTTCAGAATTACGCAATTTTTAATGTTTACTTAAAAATACATTTGTGTTCATTTAACATCTTTTCCAACACATCTCCCATATGTTCAAAATCATCAGCACTAATTCTGTTTCATTGTTACTTCGTATTTCTTAATTCAGCTACCTGTGACATTGTAAATTTTATATTATCAAATGTTCATTCTCCATACAAGTGAAAACAAAATGGTGGCTCAAATCGATTCTAACGATGATACAAATCAAACGAACCATTAATAAAATACAGAGTACGACACTAATTGTATTTCTTCAGAACTCAAAACATCCCAATGGTGGACATCTAAAAAAAAATTTACCAACACGATCCTTTGCCTCCACCCACTCGAACGAAAAAAATTACATACAAAAAGAATATAAAAATTCTTTCAAAATTTGCTGTATAACTTTGGACGGAGTTAAAAATATCTATTTACAAAAATCCGACTTAATTTGTCTTATTAGGCGAAACAGATTTCTGTGAAAATATCAATCGAGTCCCATATTTGTGATGTTAGGTATCATGATCATCTTTAGAAGAGCGTTAGCTACAAGCGGCGATAATTTTTTCGGCACTTTATCGATGTCATAAGCACCAGTCCGATTTTTCACAGCATTTCGAGAGATTTTACTAAGGTGACATTGTTTCGATTGTCTCAGCCATTTTACATAGCGTACCTCCTAGCTATAACGATATTAATGTCGCAATGAGACTACCTCTAGCGTACTTCATTTCAGTTTTTTTATGTTTTTAGAATTTTCTTATTCACGATTATACCAACGCGTATCAGATTTTGTTGCAAACGCCATTGATACATGTAAAAATAAATTCGTTCAAGATCAAACGTTTTGGTCATTTCAATCGTTTAACAGACCTCAACATTTCGGAACAAACGCACAGCAAATTAAATGCTATTGCTCCCATAAAAATATGCCTAAGCAAGAAATTGATTTTGTTCCCTGATTAATTTTCGTTTGAAAACTCACATTACGTGGAAACTCATTTATTTCGTGATGTCACGATCGTAATGTTCGGGTACGGAGCGTCGTAGTGCGTAAACGAGGTCGTGTGTGCATATCTTGCACGTTTGCAAATCAGGAAAAAAAAAGATTTGGAACTTCGGACGAGGAAGAAGGAAGATTGGCGTACAGCGTCCTTCCCACCAAAACGGAAGGAAAGAGAAAGCAGCAACGGGAAATAGATTGATGCGCTTCGAAGAAAAATTTACTCACAGGCGGCGGTTTGATCTTACAAATGCCAGACTTCTCCGCGATCGGTCGTATTTTTGCGATGTAGCTAAGAGGGTCGTGAAACTCTTCGATACTTGGTTCGAAGACCGGCGCCTCTGGCGGTGTGACGAACTCGAAGTCCGAATCACCACGATCACAAGCCATGTCTCGAGTGCAATGGTAAGTCCCGAAAAAATCCTCACAGCCGAAGTTCGTGTCGAACCTCGATACCATGACTTGAATACCCAACACAGCTTGGATGTGGATAGGTGGCCCACAACGCACCTAACGCGGGTGAGCACCTCGCGTCAGGTCTGGCACCGTTACTCAGTCACCGGCTGCGAGAATTTGTTTGGATATATACTGGGATAAACCATCTTCTCGAACTGCATTTGTGTATTCAGTGGAAAACGGTTGACAAAGTACGTGATAGCCACGAAACACACAGTACGCAACATTCACGCTATCACGCGGAGCCTCGCACACGAGCAACTGTCGTATTCCTTGTTTCATATACCTCCTCTTCCCTTGTGTCTATTTGATTATGCCGCGATAGTGGCGACACCGTACGCCATGGAATATGGAGGTAATTTTTCGTGTATTTTTATTTATTTTCTAAGAGAATTGCAGGGTCGAAGGACGAATTCTCGTTCGTGCTGGCGCAGGTGTGTTCTGATTGGTTTTAAAGAATTTTGCAATTCGCATGCGCTCTCACGACATTTGTGATGCTAAATTATATACTTAGTGATCTTTTAGTTCGTACTATTGTATGATATCAAAACTTTCTAAATTTTAACGTACTAAAACTCTCCTTAAAATATTTCCTGCGGCCTATTTATTTGTAACGTATTATTTCCCAAAGTATCAAGGTTCAAAAATTGTCATGAAAAATGTTTCAAACTTCTACATCGATGCTTCTCTCCGCTATTTGTATATTTCTATTCACTGTGTATATGACCATGAACTAAAAAGCAGACGATAGACTGTCACCCATACTAGTGATAAAAGGTTTTCTGAATGCAGCCGAGATGCGCAGAATTTTCACACTTCTCTCGTGAAACAAAGTACAAATTCTTTTTGTAAAAAGACCTTAGTATGAATGTGAATATAAAGAGACTCTAAGAACTTGTGTAATGGATATAACTAATAACGACACCTTTTATTAAAAAGTTCATTGAAATATGCAAGTTCAATATTGAAAATAATAAATGGTCCATAAAAAATAAAATTCCCTATAAAATATTATCCTTACAGTAATAAATAATAACTATAATTATTTAGATAGAAAATAATAATTTATATATATTTTTAGAGCTGTTAATATTTACAATATCAAATTTCATTTCAGTATATTGATCGATGTAAGCACCATATATTTCGAAATGATAAAATTCTGTGCTAATATGTGATTGTAATTTATTTAATATAATTTTAATTCTATATGTCATATATGTTATCAATATAAATGTGTGTAATAACAACTTTAGAATGTAAATGTTAAAATAAGTTATTGATATTTCAATTTCCCGCTCTTACTAATTACGTCATAGGGCGAAGTGACATCTATATATTTGAGGGAGGAACACAGTACTCGATAGTTCGTGTTTTTAGTCAGTGGATTATCGAGCGAAGGAAGTCTTATGTAAGTATTATGATTTGTTGAAAAAAATGATTTTAATACTTTTAATATTTTAATAAATGGCATTTACTTCAATGAAATAAAAATCTTGATTATCTTCAGAGTGTTTTAATATTTTTTATTATTATTTGTTACAATTTTTAGGTTATGTTAACAATAACGTATTATTACGTATATTTCAGAATACAGTAAAAATGGGTTTGCAATTTGGAAATCTTGCCAAAATTAGTCGTATTACATTTTTCCGCCTCAGTCCATACGAGCAGAACCCTTTTGCAGGAATGATCTCTGATGGTTTACCTAATTTCGTACGTCGTGCGCAAGAAATTTTATTGAAAGCCGGACCTAGTAAATATTTCATATAACATTTAATGTAATATTGCTAAGAATATAGATTAAATCTTAAATAACATATTTTCTTTCATCTTGCAGTGTTTTTGGGATCTTACATGTTGATGGAATGGGCAGATGCAGAAAACCATAAAATGCACCGTAAGGAGCATTAAATAAATATTTAGCTCTTACTATAATATTTATAATTAAAGTAACATGAACTGTGTTAATAGAATTAAAATAGAATCCTAAATTATATGAAAAGAATTGTGTTTTACTTTACCCTGATAATCGACTGTAGATCTATGTATATGCATTTATGGTATATCAAAGTCTGCAAAATAAATGTAAATCATGCAATGTATACACAATAAATTTCTATACTTTTCAGGCTTTGACATACATATCATAAATATGTAAATACCCATCTTATCTATAAAGAAAATGTTTTTATACATGTTTGAAACATGTATACTTTAAGAATATAAATATTAATAAATCATTTGCAATGGATGATGTACTAGTACATCAAAGATATAATGAACTTGATTGCATATAAATAAATATACAACAAGAAACATCACAATATTTCTAGTAACTAATAATCTTGTGTTTATTATATTCATATACATATAACGGCTAATAATCAATAATTTTTAATTATTTACAAGTTAACATTTGGTCCTAATTGACGATTAAAAAAATTATTAAATATTCTATCCCCAAATTCTGTTGTATTCTTTTACATTGCAGAATGCAAGAGTAATTATTGTACTGTAAAATTCAATTAACCATATTAAGATGTTGTTATCCAATATTAATCCACAAGTGTTAACTATCACTCAGAAAAGACCTGTTCATCCTCACAAATGTTTTTATTGATATTATTTCAATCCTAAATGTATAGATACTTTACATGAATATACATATGCAAGTACATATTTTTTTTATTATAATGAATAATATGAAGTTATTATTTAAGTACAAAAGTTTGATTTCATTATTCATTGATCTACAATCCTCCTTGCAGTGCTTGTAAGGAACTGAAATAATATTAATTACTGGTACGTTTTTCAACGTTTTGCTGAAAACCAATTATATTTACAACAAATTGCAGTAGCTTGTCAATCCTTAGTTTTTTTTTTTATTAATTTGGCAATGATGTATTTTATACTTGTCGCTGCATTATGCATTCGTATAATTCTCCAGTTACAATATAAAGAAATTCTAATTATTCATTATTTTATGCCAATTACTGTTCAATCACAATATTTCCTTTCCTCCATTTTTCCAATTTCAATACACTTCTATTCCAGCGTGTCAAAGCCATCCGATTCCGTTAGATCTAAACGCCATATTCCACAGGTATTCTCAACCAATAGGAGAGCCCGGTATGAGGAATGCACCTGGGCAAAGCAGGTAAGAAGCGGTCAGGCAAAGAGCAATCAGGTAGTCGTTCAGGTATTTCCAGTCGAGCATGATCGGCACGTAGCTCTCTGCCAAAAGCTTTCCCTCCTTCTCTTTCTCTCTCTTTTTCCCTTTTGGTGTGTGCTCATTGTGAAAAATTTGTAAATAGGTAAGTAAGAACGGAGTGAAACAGTTTTTGTTCGCGGTACACGTCGCGGGAGTTGTGATTTTCAATGTCTGCTGGTTCCGTACGGGTCCTGAACTACGAAGCAGAAATCCAGCGGACTCGGTGAAACGCTGCTGTCAAGGTATTTATGGAAATGATTTCTGGACTGGAGTCATTGTACCGAGTACACCGACGTGGATTTCTCCCCGCGGAGAATCGTCTGTCGCGGTCACACCTGTTGCTCTAAGTTTCCGATGATAATCAACGCACGAACCTATCTATATGTATATAGTCTGTATCTGGTTATGGTAACGGATTTCAATCAGAAAAATCCCAGTATCGATACCCTGTAATTGACATACGCACGTATTTACTCGATTGCGTATAAGAAACACACAATCGGAGTACTTGGTGACAAGTCTCGAAAAGAATTTACCTTGCCACTTACAATTAGTCATAACATAAGCCTATAATTGTACAATAGAATGATGTTATGTTTTGAAACGGGTGTTCGAGCTTCATTTTTATTCCGGAATTAATGAACGTGTAGGATTTTTCTACGAATGACAATTTCAAGTATTAATGAAACTACAGCATATGATCGCAACATCAAATATACGAACATCGAGCAAGACCAATTACATTGCAACGTAAATCCACGGCGAAGAACTTCGTACTCCGTTTCTTTTCATTTGAAAGTTCGTAATTTAATCTGAAATAAAAAAAATATCAGATACTATGAAGAAAGAAAGTAACTATTAATTGTTGCGCGTGGTAACCTACGTAGATTGCTGCAATACTAAAAATCGGTGCAATTCTTTTTTAATTAACGAATACGATTGCGAATGCAGTAGTAAATTTTGAGCGTGACGTTGCCACGCGTTAAATAGCCACGCGTTGTATCGCCACGCCTTTTGTAGTCACGCGTTATATTGTCACGCGCTATATATCGCTGTGTGTTATATTGCCCGTTACTATATATTTCCTCGCTATATATTGCCATTTGCTATGTATTGCGATGTATTTCCTCACTATATATTGCCGCTCGCTATATATTGCCACATGTTACATATTTCCTCGCTATATATTGCCACTTGCGATGTATTTCCTCGCTATATATTGCCATTTGCTATATATTGCCACTTGCGATATATTTCCTCACTATATATTGCCGCTCGTTATATATTGCCACATGTTACATATTTCCTCGCTATATATTGCCATTTGCTATATATTGCCACTTGTTACATATTTTCTCGCTATATATTGCCACTTGCTGCATATTTCCTCGCTATATATCGCCACTCGCTATATATCGCCACTTGCTATATATTGCCAAGTATTATATATTACTGTATGTCGTCAAATTGCTATGCGTTGTATCACTCGCCGTATATCGCCACACTCTATATATTGTCACTCGCAGTATATCGCCGTATATTGTAATTATGCATCATATATTGCCACGTGTTGTATCATCACGTGTTATATCGCGACATGAGAGAAACGTAACCCAAAACATTTTGATTTATAACATTACATGCAGTATACAACGTGTATCTCCATGTAGGTACATGCCTGAGTAATCGATTCTAAATTTCATCGATCATTTTTATCATCCTATCATAATTACAATGAATCACTTATTATACCGTTTCGAAAGTCATTTCCTGTTCCTTTATGCAGTTCGAGCAGTTTTGGCGCGTTTTTATTGTACGTACGTGTTTACTATATCTAAATATAGAAAAGGCGTCGAAGAAGTTTAAAAGTATGTAAAAATAGTGGGATCGGTGATTATGGAAATGAGAAAGAACAGTGAATGTGTTTTCTTTCGTTTTGTAAGGAGGTTCCCCGCCCATGACATTTCCAATGGACATTCTCCCGATCCAGGCAAACACCGCGTTGTTTATCGTTAATCGATAACGCGTTCGAGTTTTAAACCGCGATTGTCTCGAACAAAATCGTGCGGCGTTAAATTACACTTGTACGTACAACGTAGAACTTCTTATCGACGAGATAGTCGATACCGTGGTACAATTACACGGGCTATTTCGCAAGTTTATTTTATATTTTTTTATGATTTGTTTCTTCGAGGAATGCAATTTCGATAGCCAAATTTATGATCGTTAAATATAATTACAAATTATAAATTGCTAAATGCAAGATGAGTCGATGGTCAGTTTAAAGAAGCGCAGTCATTGAAATATCAATGAAGATATATTATAAAGTAATTTTTTAGATATGGCGAAATAAGTGTATTTATATTAAATAGAATCGACAGTTGTCGATAGCTCCAGGAATGTACGGCAATCACCTGTAATTCACGCCTACGAAATACCTACATAGTCTCCATTATGATTGCCGTGACATAAATTGCAAATATTTACCGTACTCCGCGGGCATCGATATTGCATCGAACGACCTTCGATATCCTGGGGAACAAAGTGCACGAGTATTGCTACGTTGCTATACGCTTTTTGCTGAATTGCGTGACTAAAACGAATCTCATTAAATCTTGCAATAATTTTGCAAATGTAAAGTAACAATTACGTAACAATTCGATCAAACATTGTAAATAAATACTCTCGACCCAATTCTGAACTAAAATCGACCCATCGCAATTTTTACGCCTTAAAACACATAAAATAACAGTAATATTTTACTGTCATAGATCTTACACCTGCCTAGTTACAAACATTGACTCTAAACGATATACTTGTTTTGAAAATAATCCACTTAGTCATTATAATATATCGATAAGAGGTAATCGTTCGAGTTAGGAAATGGGTGCAGGTTGGCCGAACTTATCTGGAAATCGTTCACTCGATAAGAAGTTTATGTTCTAGTTAATCGATCATAGTCCATAATCGTCAGCTGCAGAACGGGTGTCTATTCACGAGGCTAACTCGAGTGACTAAGATATTGATTTAAAGAAAAAAAACGTTCGTTCATTATTCATACGTTAACCTCAAAATTTGTGTTCATTTAGTAGATATACGGAGTGCAGACGTTTGAGATATAGTGTTTAGCTATATTTGTTGATGTCTGGATGCAGTGGATTTATAGATGTAGCTAGATTTGTACGTATATGTGGATTTATAGGTATAGCTAGATTTCTATAATTTTAGATCTTTACTACAACCTGTTATATTTTTAGATCCATATATTTTTAGATCTTTACACTTCTAGATACCTACACTCCTAGATCTCTACACTTCTAGATATTTATTTTTATAAATTTTTATATTCCTAGAATTCTACACTTCTAGATTTCTATAACCCTAGACCTCCACACTTCTAGATCCCCATACCCCCAGATCTCTAGATTTCTAGATCCCCACACATCTAGATTTCTACACCCCTAATTCCCTACATCCCTAGATCTCTACATTTCTAGATTCCCACACACCTAGATTTCCACGTCCCTAATTCTCTACATCCATAGATCTCTACACCCCTAATTCCCTACATCCCTAGATCTCTACACCCCTAATTCTCTACATCCTTAGATCTCTACACACCCAGATATCTATACTCCCTAGATTTCAACACCCTTAGATCCCTACACCCTCCAGGTTCCTACACCCCTAGATCCCTACACTCCAAAATCTCTACATTTCTAGATCCCTGCATACCTAGATCTCTGCATCCCCAAATACCTAGACCCCCTAGATCCCTATACCCCTAAATCCCTACACCCATAGATCTCCACACCCCTAAATCTCTACATCCCTATATCTCTATATTTCCAGATCTCTATACCCTTGAATTACACTACCTCCCCCGATCCCTATATACTGAAATCTCTATATCCTGATCTCCCTATATCCCCATATTTCTACACCCCTAAACTCCCAAATTCTCATACCTCTATATCCCTAAATTCCTCTTACTCCAAAGCCATCTTTACATTCTAAAAATCTCCCCACCCAAAATTCTCCTCTTTTACATATAAAAATCTCAAAATTCCCACATTCCTACGCTTCTATACGTACATATATAAACTTGCATTGTGAAGTAATAAAAAAGTAGTAGAAGAATAGTTTGATTCCACCAGCACGTAGTAGACGAGTGTCCGAACGCAATCAAACGCCAACAGGTTGTTGTTTTCAGAGAATATCTAACCGATTCTTAGGAGGGTAAGGGAACACGAAAGGTAAACGCCTGTTGAAAGTAAACATATCGCAGATGGATAGCCGTGCGAGCATTGAAAAAGTGGAAAGAAAGTTGCCGATACGACTCGCATACCTACTGATCCGCCGATCCGAACAAGTTTCTTAGTGAATGGACTGATCGAATGAACTTTTCACTTGTTTGCGTCCACTACTTCGATTAAATTAACCCTCCGGCGTGCTGACTATACATGGTGAACACATGGTCTTCTATACTTGGTTAATGTGTAATTCAATAGAATAATTAGTACTTCGTTGCCTACAAATTATAGTGATTAGAGCATTCCGGAGTTGTTAGCTAAAGGCGCAAAATTAAAAAGGTTTAACTAAAGTGTGACTTGTAGCAGAGTCCAAAAGTATGAAAGTTAAAAGGTATTAAACCTTCAGGATTAATGCTGAACCTACCGACATATAATGTATACTTGGAAGTTAAAAATGAATTTGAAAAATTAATAAACAAACGACGGAACATAAAGTAGTACGCACATTTATTCTTTAACTTGTTGAAATTCAATACTGATTTCAAGGAATGTTCCTTAACAAAATGTGTACCTTATAATAAGAAACTTGTGGAGCGGTAATTTAACCGGTTAGGTAGTTTTAGTATTAATATAACAAATTTTAAAGTTTCCAAGTCGAAAAATTCTTAGGACCAAAAATTCTCAAGCCACAAAATTTTTGAGTTCAAAAATTACTTTCAGGGTTAATGTCAAAAATTGTAAAGGTTCCAGGTTGAAAAATTCTTAGGACCAAAAATTCTCAAGCCACAAAATTTTTGAGTTAAAAAATTAAAAAATCCCCAAATTTTCAAGTTCTAAAATTACAAAATGACAAAAACCTCAAATTACAGAACTTTGAAGTCCCAGAATTACAAAATCCCAAAATTTTCAAGTCCCTAAGTTAAAAAATGACCAAAACCTCAAACCACAGAATTTTGAAGTCCCAGAATTACAAAATCCCAAAATTTTCA